CCCGGCGTCACCTTCAAAAAGACGGCGCGCAAGTGGCGCAAGTCCATCCAGGACGCCGGCTGGGTGCCGTATCGGTTCGTACAGCGCCAGATGGACGCCGATTCGCAAAGGCCTTCGTACGTGTCGAAGCTCGTGCAACAGTGCAAGAACAACGACACGAGCACCCTGCGCCAAGACGACGAGGAGGCCATCCTGTGGTCGGCCGCGAGTCTCTACGGCGGCGCCGCAGACACCACCGTCATCAGCCTGACGGCCTTCACCCTGGCCATGGCCAAGTTCCCCGACATTCAACGCAAAGCCCAGGAAGAAATCGACCGTGTCATAGGCACCGATCGTCTTCCCAGCTTTGACGACCGGGACAGGCTTCCCTACATCAACGCAGTCATCAAAGAGACGCTGAGATGGTGGCCCATTGCCCCCATGGGATTCCCCCACACGGCCAACGAGGAGCTCGAGTACAACGGGTACCGCATCCCCAAGAACGCCATCCTCCTGCCGGCTGTGTGGGGGTTCCTCCATGACCCGAACGTCTACCGGGAACCGCACTCGTTTGAGCCCGAGCGCTTTCTGAGCCCGCGAGACGAGCCAGACCCCACGTCCGACGTCTTTGGGTACGGTCGCAGAATATGCCCTGGCCGGTTCATCGCCGACTCGGGTGTCTTCATCAACGTCGTCCAGTCCCTGGCGGCGTTTGACGTGAGCGCCGCCACAGACTCTGCGGGGGAGTCCGTAGGTATTGACGCCAAGCCGATGCCGGGCATCCTGTGCTACCCTGCCGAGTTCCCCTTCAAGATCACGCCGAGGAGCGCTGCGCATGTGGATCTTATTCGGCGAGCGGAGAAGGAACACCCTTGGGAGGCGAGCGATGCGCCTCTTCTCGAGACCTGATCATGTCATCATGTCAGGATGCGTCAGCTGCAGCAGAACGAGCTACAATAATGGACACAGTATGACCAAAGACTGATTTACCAGTACTATCTCTCTCTAGCTAGCTTGTGAATGGACGTTGAGGTCTGGCTTGGGCCCCGATGCACAAACCACGCTTCTTGTCAATGACGTTGCGATTGATAAAGAGCGAACCACCAAGACTGCACTTTGTGAGGACTCGAATAACTGCAAGGGTTCGTTGAAAAAGGCACTTTAGCATCACCTCGTGAAAAGACCCAACACCAGGAAAAAAAACAAGGTGTTTGCTGCATGCGCTTGTCATGATTCTGCCCATCAAGTCGAAAATCATCCAATGGGGGGATGGCGCAGTTGGGAGCGCGTTAGACTGAAGTCAACTTCAGGAAGTCAATCTAAAGGTCGCTGGTTCGATCCCGGCTCACCCCAATTATTTTGCCTTTTGGACCTCGCAAGCAAGCACTTACACTCCGCTCCGGCGAACAGTCTCCCACAAGATCCACCATGGAGGGGCATCTTTTTTTTTTTTCTTTTTTTTTTTTTCTAAAGCTCCTTTCCTCTACTCCATCTCTCCGCGTCCCATGACACGATGCCCCGCGGCCGAGAAGCAGCCACAGGGGGGATGGCGCAGTTGGGAGCGCGTTAGACTGAAGCCAACTTCGGGAATCCAATCTAAAGGTCGCTGGTTCGATCCCGGCTCACCCCAGCAGTAGCAGATCAACTGGTCTGGATGACTTTTTGACCGTTGCTGTCCGTGTCCATGCCTGCCGTGCGGCATACCGCTGGACGAAGCACCTCATCGCGTCATTCGTCAAGACATATTGTGCTATCCATCTGCCGAGCTGATGGACTTCGATTCAAGTAAAGAAATGAGTTGATTGCACGAGGCGTCCCTTTTGATGCTCCCTTCCTAACATGCTGCCTCCTGGTATCCTTTGCACACTTTGCTCCCACTCCCGACCCCCTCTCACCTCATGCGCGGCCCGCTGGGAAGTCCCTGTCGTCTTGGCCCGCTGGGCAATCCCTGTGCCGGCCTGCCGCCTCCCCCACCGCCGTATGCAGGCTCATTGTTGGACCACGACGTGCTCGAACCCGTGTACGACCTGTCGCCGCCTCCCCTCCCATCATACTGGCCACCCGGCGCGAACCTCTCCTCATAGTCACCGCCATGGCTGCCTCCTCCCGAGCTCGGCGGCTGGTAGGGCCCCTGCGACCCGGCCGGGCTCGTCGTCCTCGCGCCGCCGCCCCAGAGCCTCTGCTTCAGCCTGTCCTGCGCCGAACCTCCCCCCGCAGCCGCCGGCGCCGGCACGCTTGTCGATCCCTGCGAGTACACGCTGCCAGACTGATAGCTCCCAGCCCTGCCCCCGGTGCCAGGCCTGTCATCGCCGCCGCCGCCGCCGCCTTGAGCGAACGGGCTGACCCTCTGCTGCTGCGCCAGCTGCCCGCCGCCGCCCCGCCCTGCCGCAGGTCTGCGGCGCGCCCTGCGGATGCTGCACCGGGTTCGGATCCGGAGCGAGCTCAGGAATCAGGAAGCGGGACGGGGGCGGGGGCGG